TGATAAAATTGAAATGTCCAGCAGTAGGGTAATGTTTTGCAACTATTAAATATAATAATTATGAAGGCTATGTAGAAACATGAAAAAATAAGAGCACTCTATGTGAAAAAGATTGACATGAAATATACCAAAGTGAACATGGTCATTATATTAAGGTGATTCAGTTATGACTCATCCTCCAGCCATCTCCCTATCTTTTCTTAGAATAGTTTTTATTGATTTTTTTTTAGAGAGGAAGGGAGAGGGAGAGAGAGAGAAATATGGATGTGAGAGTGTGACATTGATTAGCTGCCTCCTGCACACCCCTATGGGGGATGGAGCCCACAACCCAGACTTGTGCCCTTGACCGGGAATTGAACGGGCATCCTCCAGGTGCACGGGACAATGCCCAATCTACAGAGTCATTCGGGCCAGGACTCCCTATCTTTTCATCTGTCTAAAATGTTTTCTAACTAAAGAGTGTATTTAAAATAATAAAATATTTTTTAAATAAGAGAAAAAGTCAATAGCTGACAGTTATATGCTAGGATAAAATTAATCTTTGGCAAAATTGTTAAATATAATGATTAGATGACCCATATACAGGTTTCCTTAGTGAACTACTTTTCCTTTAGCTTTAGTCCCTTCTCTGCTTTGCCTTTCTCCTGTCCCAATCTTCTCTCATGATCTAATTCTGGACTCTTAAAAAACTTTCCTAGAATACCTTTAATAAAACTTACCTGTCTTATTACCTCTTGCTCAGACCATCAATTATTCCTAAATAATAACATGGGAAATGTTAACAAGTTAACATGCAGCCTCTCTTGGTGAACATACACCTAAAGATAATGACACAGACCCTTTGGTTTACTCAGCCTCTTCAACTCCATTCATTTATTCATTCTTTCATTCAGCTCTGTCCTAGTTAAGGATTTTGGTGATGAGCCAGAAGTCACACTTATCCCATTTGTGGATAATTTGAAGCAGGAGATAGAGGAAATGCACTAAATGGCAGAACTGGGGAGCGGAAAGATTTCAGCGAGCCAGCAAGATGGACTAAGTCAAACAAGAAGTTTAATAAGAATGCGTATCATGGTCTGCAATTCGAGTTGTCAAGCTAGGGCTGTACAAGCATAGCTAGATCACAGCCCTTGTGAAAAAGCCTCAGGGGTGTTAACCCAGAGTGAGTTCTCCTAAGAGTGCAGGGTATGAAGTAGCCAACAGAAAAGGCCCCTTTGAACTTGGGTTGTAGTAACAGAAGTATTATGTCACAACCCATGGGGAATATCAGGAGATACAGGGCTAACTAGGAGTCCAGCACTGGGATACGGCCTCAAAAAGAAGCTGAGACCCCAAATAAATAAAAATGAGATAAATAGCAGCAGCACTAAACTGTGTGAGGAGCAAGTAGTCAGGAGCAGAGTGGGGCTTATGGAGCAGAAAGGAGATAGCCCTAAGGAACTCCATCAGCAGAACTAGTAACCCAAGGTTTGTGAGTATGTGCTTCTTAGACCAAGGAGCCTGAGTTGTCAAGTGGATGTGTACTGTGAGGTGTTTTTTCCCATAACAAGGCAGGGTTTTATAAGATCATTTGGTTCCTGTGGCCAATCATACATATTTACGCTATGCAGTGTGTAGCCACGGAGTATATTTTTAATTTGGTCTGAAGCTACCTAGCCCATGTGGGGTTGAGATTCCTCATTAAGTCCCAGCAACTGAAAGCTGAACCTGCTCCACCCTTGGTTGACTGCAGGAAGATGAGGGAAAGGGTGTTCTCCTGGCTCCCACCCTGTGCTCCCACACTGTTTTCCAGTCTTGGATGTTAAAGCTGTTGGGTTTACCAAACAGCGTGCCTCTGAATAGGGACTAGAAAGAATCCCCAAGAGAATGTTTATAGCTGATAACAAGAGAGAGTGTCTGGTTTAGCAGGAGATGAAATGTTCTTTTGTATGTGCGCAGGAAGTAAGCAGATAGTCCACTTCAATAGCTTTTTATACCCGCCAGGCATGTTGAAATTGATCTTTTCCATCACTATTATCTATAAAACCTCTTCTTTAGTGATTTAGTAGGAGCATACTGTAGCCCATTCTCATTCAAATGTGTTATCTCTTTTTGGGGGGAAGAGCTGAGAGCCATACCTTTATCCCGCATCATTTTAACTTAGACATTCATTTATCTCAATGCTAAAATTCATCTAAGCTAAAATGAAATAACGAACAAAGCCTTGTGATAACTTGTAGCATCTTGACTACTTTGTGAGGATGCTAATGTGACTAATGAAAGAAGAAATAGTAAAGAAATTGCTGGCTATCATTGAAAGCGTGCAACTTTTCCAAGGAATAGTTGGGGAGTTTGTGGAGAGCCACTCAAGGCAGAATGATTTGGGTGTAAATTAAGTTAGATTCAACCATGACTCTTTTAACCTTAAATGATTGAGGAACATATTAGCATTGTTGACTGGTATCTTAGATTATGAAGACTTTCAGCTGTTAGGCTTTACAAGGAAAGTCCATGCAGATTCACTTCTAACAGCAGGTACTTGGAGTGTTACCTCTCCACGTGTATAAAAAAAAAAAATCAAACCCCATTTGGAAAGTTGTATTAAACTTTGGTAGGTAGTACTATGGACCACTTTCCCCCAGATTCAACTAAATGTCTCTCCTGAGCCCTCAGGACAGATCACCTCTTCTCTGCCCATCCTAAGACCCAGCCCACCCAGCCCTGGGGTCTTGGCACTGGGCCCTCCCGGCCTCTTGGTGTGATTCTACCTTAGAAGGGAGAGATGAGATCTTCCCATGGCCGAGTTTTTGGCCCTACCGCAATGCCTGGTCCCTGCGAGGTGGCAGGAGGACACTGCTGACGGCCTCTCTCTGGGAGAAGCAGGGGTCCCCTGCTTCTAACGCTGGGCTCCCCGGGAGGGCTCCCGACTGGGACCTGGGCTGGGGGCCAGTTGCTGGAAGGATGGGCTGTCAGCTTCCAGCCCCGCGATCCGAGCTCACTGCCAACTGCATGAGCCTGTGGTTTGGGGACGAATCAGGCTTGGGGGAGGCAGAGAAAAGGCGTGAGGGAGCGTGGTGAGCAGCACGGGGAAATGGAAAAGGGTGGCAGGCCGGTGACCAGCAGGGGCTGCTTCCTTTGAACCCGCGAGGGACTGTGGCTCGGCAGCCCTGGCGCCAGGTGCTCCGACCCGCGCTTCCTGCGTCGCGCGGCGAGTGACAGAGACCTGTCCCGGCTCTGCCGCCCGGAGGTTTGGCAAGTCCGCGTTGCCCAACCTTCCCAGGCGGGTGGCAGTCCGGCCCTTCAGGAAGAGCCGCCGGCCCGCTCAGGTCCTTTTACCATGACCGGCCGGCAGGCTCCCACAGAGCGACGTTTCCAAAGCGGCGGGATTTGCCGGGACACCGTGGACCGCTCGGCTCTCAGCCTCTGAGGCCGTGGAGGCAAAACTGAGGGCGACGGGGGTGGGCGCCGTCGCCAGTGACCCAGCGCCTCCAGCTAGTTCACCGGGTTTTGTTCGAAGAGCAGCGCTCATCTTCCGTAGCAAGCTGCCATCAGAAAGAGTTTTTCGAGCATTTAGGAAATAAAGTTCATGTCCCCGGTCCTTACAAGTTGCAGGAGCAGTTTCGCGCCTCAGTTTTTAAAAAGGTATCTTGATGCCATTCCTTGTTTTGCTTCTGGGACGCGGAGGGTTTAGGAAACGTCTCGGGCGGGTGCCTCCGCGGCCGCAAGGACAGAGCCGCGCCGCGCTTTCCGGGCCGGGGCCGGGGCCGGGCGCTGCCTCCCCAGGGTGCTAAGCAGGCGTCCGGCGCCCTCGGGCTCTCCCGGTGCAGCCGCGGTGCCGACGGTTTCGGCTCCTTCCGACGAGGTCCGGGGACGGTCAGGGAGCCCGCGGGGGTGGGGGCGGCCGCGGCCGCGGCTGGGCGAGGTGGGAAGAGCGAGGACGGGGAGGGAGCCGGACCGCGCCTCACTCCTTGGTGCCAAGGTCACCTCGGCCAGCTTCCCGAGGGTCGGACTTTCCGCCCGGGGGGCAGCCAGTGGAGCGCCACCCCGGGGCCCTAACCAGCTTCGGGGGCGCCCCCAGGGCTGAGTAAGCAGGGGGAGGGAGCCTGCCAAAATGTTCTGAGCGCTAAGGCAGGAGGAGCGCACGCGGGCTGGAGGGCCGGGAACGAGGACCCAGAACCTGGCCGGACCGCGCTCCCGGGCCAAGAAGCCAGCGCCA